TTGGCTGCGGACCACGTGGAATGGGCGGAAAATGGCCGCGGACCACGTGGAATGGGCGGGAAATGGCCGCGGACCACGTGGAACGGGCGGAAAATGGCTGCGGACTACGTGGCACGGACGGAAAATGGCTCGTAAGTCGAGGCGAATTCGTAAGTCGAGGTAAATTTTTGGGGCCGGAGCTGATCGTATCTCGAAAATTTCGTAAGTAGGGGCGTTCGTAAGTAGAGGTACCACTGTATAAGCATTTACAGTAACTTAACACCTTCTCTAACATTACAGAAACCAAAAAACTCTTTTCCCCATTTCTCATCACTAAACAATAACCAAATGATAGAAATATTCATCAATCAGTCTTATTCAGCAAAAGCATTAAGAATACCAGTAGTAGTAACCTATATGTTTTAAGGTTACACAAATAAATCTATTTTGCATTTCGACTTATAACTTTCTTTAATAAGTAAGACATAAAAGATTATCCCCATATGTATAAAGAATACCGATAGTGGTAACTATATATTTTAAACTAGATCCAATAGGTCCCTTTTACATTCTAACCCATAACTTTCTCTAACAAGTAGGAGGTAAAAGATTTATCCCCATATGAAAAAATGTTTACATCGTCTTGCAATCCTGGCTAAAAAGGATTCCAATAATAACAACGCAAAATCACAATTTATACAATTTAACCCTGGTCAAGTAAGCCCACTTTGAACTCCTTTTTCTTCTCGTTAAGAGGCTTAATTTTCAGTTGCTTCTTCAAATACAGTCCCACATAGTGATTTCTTATCATTTTCTCCCTGTCAGTTTTCAGTAGCAACTTCAGAGATTTAGTACTTCCCTTCTGTGGATCCAAAATAAGATAACTCTCCAGTCACTCTTCTGATTTATAATCAGGATATCCCTTTTAACTCTTAAAACATCAGCCAGCATAGTTTGTATATCCATTACAACTTCTTTCTCTATGTCACTATTGTAGTCAAATATTTTAAAGTCCATTTTCAAATTCACAACATCTTTTTCCATATCTTCTATATCTCTTTTACAGTCTGGCAATTCTTTTCAGTCCATTTTCAAATCCCTGTTCAAATCATCCTCGGTTTCTGTTTTATTCAGTAGAATCTTTTCTTCTTCTATTACCTCTGTTAGATCCAATTTTAAAAATAAGTCCTGAACACATTATTCCCAGACAGATTTAAATTCTTCTGTGGTAAAACAATGTTCCTCCATTATATTAGAAAGTACCATATTTTTCCGACAATAAGACGCCCCCATGTACAAGACGACCCCCACTTTTCCAACCCAAAATTAAGAAATCAATATTTT